AAAAAAATGTAAAAGAATCAAAAGGAAAAAAAGCATTAACATGAAGCAGGAAACACACCTCCAATGTGGCAATTCTACCCATTTTCGATCGCATTTCAAAAAGTTCTGTTCCATCTTCACTTAATTTCTTCTTCAAGACAGCGTTCTCCTTCTCTAGCTCTAACGCTCTATCTTTCAGCTGTTGGTGCTCTTCTTCGAATTCAACCCTGAATCGATCACAACTTAGAAAGCTAAGAACAAAGTACGTAAGAAAGGTATATTTACTGAAAAAGTGCTCGTAGTTCTTCCCTCTTTGCACTAAGCCTTTCCCATTCTTCATTAAGCTTTTCAACATCCGAAGCAAACTTTCTGAAATTAAATATGTTTTGGCGTTAAACAAAGTTTATAGTGCAACCAAAACTCACACATGAAATTCAGCTTTGATTCGATCCAGGTGTTCTTTGTTCATACTAAGTTCTGCTACGCGATTTTCCAATGACTTTCGGGTAATTTCCAAAGCGTTCTCCTTTTCCTAAAACATAGCCAAAATTGATATGCTTATTTAAAATATGCGAAAGAAAATAGAACGCTTATGCTCACAGCTAATTGCATCTCAATTTTGTGACGAAAAATTCGTTCCTTTTCGGAGAACTCTTCGTTAAGTCTCGCCCTCTCTCGCTCCAACTATAAAAATTTTCGTGATCGGTAGAAATACGGAAAACTACAACTTTTCAAAAACTTACCTCTCGCTTTCTGACTTCAACCTGATCAGCGTACTCATTTCGGATTTCACTGAGCTTACGAGCAGTTTCTGCTCGATCTCGTTCTCTTTGCTGCAAGAGCTTCTTCTCGTAGCGACGCTCCACTCGTTTACATAGTTTTTCGGCCACTAGCTTTAGTTGGAGTTGAGCGTCAGTGGATGTGAGGCACTAAAAGTTTGAAGAAGATATGAAAAAGATGAAGCGCAGTGAACCTTTTATATGTCTGGGTATGCATACCTTGTCTACATTGACAGGTGGATGATCGAGAGCTTGCGTTAGCTGGCCGTTGCTGCTAAGAGCACGATAAACAGCTCTAGTCAGAATACTTTCCACGTCCCAAGTTGGAATTCGCTGAATCAGCATAATAATTATAAAGCAATTTCCAATCAAAATTTACATTAGGACTCACCTTTCCCTCAGTGGCGATAGATCTGAAAACGTGTTCAGTCATTTCGCGAAAGCTCATTTGGAAAACATCTTGAAAGAGCTGCGCCTAGAGGGCAAACGTCATTTTCGAATTGAGAAGAAAAAACTACGCAAAAATGCAAGCATATAGGTAGGCAATGATGTAGACAAAATTGGTCCTTCTCTACATTAGAGGAAAAAAATTTATTCGCTTTGGACTTTACCAGCTACTATAACGTATGAAACGTATAACAAATCACACAAAAACTATTAACTATAAATCTAAGGCTATTCTTCGAGACAATCTGGATCTACCATGGTCGTTTAGTAACTCCAACATCCAGATAGGCAGTTCTCTTATCGAAAGTGGGACTAAAAATAGACGGATAAGAGTATGGAAGGATGTTACGATTGGGAAAATCAAAGAGTAAACTGTACTAACCTATAGTAGTTGTGCTTGGCAGGATTCTCCAGACCTTTAGCTTGCAATCCTGGATACTTCGCCTCAATCTCCTTCGCATTTGTGATAACATCCTTCTGAGGCATTGTCTCAATACCACGAAGATGCTGCCAGTCCTATACAAAATAACATGAAATCCAAAGTGCTTCAAGAGATGAGAATAAGCTGAACAGATAACTTTTGTGGAAAGGTAATTTAACTTACCTTGACTTCATATTTCCAATAATAATACATTGTCTCCAAAGCCAAAAAAGTGAGTATCACTTTAGGCACTGTCACACGGATGGCAGTTCCATAGTACACACCAAATGTCGGCTGTAGATTAAGATTATAGTTATTAAACTTCATTAATCAGATTTATCACCTTGAGGAAGTGTAGATATAATTTATCCCAAGGCCACCTGTAAAGCACTCGAATTGGATTGAGCTGACGGTGTACTGCGTCTACAACAATAGGCTCATCTGGATGGAGATGTTGATCCTAGAAATTTGAAAATAACTTGATAAATCGTTCAGATATGAGTCCGATAGGTCAAAAAATTCTAAAAAAGTTCCTCGTTTACCTAAATTACCCTAGATTAAACAGACGCCTTTTTTTCTTACAATGTTTAGCCAAAAATTTGAGTTGTTACTTCATCACCTTAATGTCCAAACTAAGCTTCATGTCTCGTATATGTTTCCCTAGGTTTTATTAGAACTCAACTTCTTTTAAAGAGATTGAT